ACAATATAACTAATGATTAAATGCGGGCTGCCATCGCCAATACTCAAGAGTTTAGTTGCAATAAGCGGAGCTAAACCCCCTCCTAATACACCTGCAAATTGCACAGAAATGGAAATGCCACTGTAACGAATTTCAGCCGGAAATTGACGGGCAAATAACTGGGCTTGTGGTGCATACATAATGGGGAAAACCACACCAATACCTAACACAATCGCCGTCCAAACCAATACTGGGTCTTTGGTCCCCAACATGGTGAAAAATGGATAGCAATATAATGCCAAGACTAAGAGACCAAACATAAACATATTTCGTTGCCCGACTTTATCCGATAAATGACCACACAATGGTGTCATCACCATAATTAAGCCTGCACCGCAAATCGTTGCAAATAAAATATCCTGACGCGGAATTCCTAACTTGGTGGTGGTATACGCTAGGGCAAATGTAGAGGCAATATAAAACCAAGCATTTTCCGCTGCGCGGGCAAAAATAATCGTCAGCAACTCACGTGGGTGATTTTTAAAGACTTGCATAGCAGGAACTTTAATTTCCTGCGCCTGCTCTTTCACTTTTTCGAAGTCAGGTGATTCAGGCACTTTTACGCGAATATACCAACCTACTCCTAATAACAGAATGCTGGCAAGGAATGGTAAACGCCATCCCCAACTAAATAAGCTAGCTTCAGGCAGTAAAGAAACAGCGCCTAAAGCAAGAGAAGCCAATAATAAGCCTCCCCCTGCACTGGCCTGAGGTAAACTTCCCCAGAAACCCTTGCCACCTTCGGGTGCATGCTCAACTGCCATCAAAACAGCACCGCCCCACTCGCCCCCCATCGCCATACCTTGAATAAATCGAAGAATGACCAAACAGAAGGTTGCCCAATAACCAATACTTTCATAAGTCGGTAACAGCCCGATCAAAACCGTCGGAACTCCCATCATAATCAAGGTGGTTAACAACATGGTTTTACGACCAATCTTGTCGCCAAAGTGTCCAAAAACAATCCCACCTAGCGGTCGTCCGATAAATCCCACCGCATAGGTGGCGAAAGCAGCTAATACCCCAGTTAAAGGGTCTAAATTGGGGAAAAACAATTTATTAAAAATCAGCGCCGCAGCGGCACCATAAATAAAAAAATCGTACCATTCTATGGTCGTTCCCACCATGCTGGAGATTCCAGCCAAACGGTGAGAAGACTTTTTATGTGGAAGACCCGATCCTTGTATCTGCTCCATACCCACCTCTTGCAATTCTTAGTATTGTCTGCTTTCTGTCACGTTTAAAATCTGTCCTGATTTTTAAACCACGTGACTATAACGATATTGGTTATGATTTCATGAGTTTTAAAGCTATGACGACTCATAACTTTAAGAAAAATATTATAAAAGTGAACTAAAATTCACTAATTTATTAATGTGAATTAATCTTGAAATAGAGTCAATCTACTTAATTACTTAAGTAGTTTCTATA